CGGAAGGCTGAGGCGGAAGGATCGCCGGAGCCCAGCAGGTTGAGGCTGCCATGGCCGGGAGCGGCCACTGCACTCCAGTATGGGCGACAGAGTGAGACTCCAACTCAAAAAAAAAAAATTAAAAAATTAAAAATAAATAGATAAATAAATACCACCCTTGGGACAATGACTTCCAAATCAAAGCCAATCTCCTCTGAGTTCCAGACTCAACTAAGCTGCTGTCATGATGTCTCCATTTGGTTGCCCCATGAGTATCTCAGATTCACTGTGGTCCTTTCTAAACCTACTCCTTTCCAGATAGGCACGGTGGCCCACAGCTGTAATCCCAACACTTTGGGAGGCTGGGCGGGGGGAGGACTGCTTGAGTCCAGGAATTCGAGACCAATCTGGGCAACATAGTGAGACTTCATTTCTACAAAAAAACCCAAAAAATGAGCCAGGCATGGTCATGCAAGCCTCTAGTCCCAGCTACTTTGGAGACTGAGGCAGGAGGATTTCCTGAGCCCAAGAGATCAAGGCTGCAATGACCAGTGATTGTATCACTGTACTTCAGCCTGGGCAATAGAGATCCCAACTTAAAAAAACAAAAACAAGGCCAGGTGTGGCAGCTCACACCTATAATCCCAGCACTTTGGGAGGCTGAGGTAAGAGGACTGCCTGAGCCCATGGGTTCAAGACCAGCCTGGGCAACTAGGTGAGACCTCATCTCTACAATAAATAAAAAAAATTAGCTGGGTATGGTGGTGCATGCCTGTAGTTCCAGCTACTTGGAAGGCTGAGGTGGAAAGATCACCCAAACCCAGCAGGTCAAGGCTGCGGTGGCCGTGAGCATGCCACTGCACTCTAGCGTGGGCAACATAGTGAGACTGCAACTAAAAAAAAAACACCAAAAAACCCCAAAAAACAAAAAACAATGCTGGGCATGGTAGCATGCACCTATAGCTTCAGCTACTTGTAAGGCTGAGGTGGAAGGATTGCCTGAGTCCAGCAGGTCGAGGCTATGGTGGCCATGAGTGTGCTACTGCACTCCTGCCTGGGTGACAGAGTGAGACTCCAACTCGAAACAAACAAACAAAAACAAAACAGGCCAGGCATAATGGTTCACACTTGTAATCCCAGCACTTTGGAAGGCAGAGGCAAGAGGACTGCCTGAGCCCAGGGGTTCGAGACCAGATTGGGCAACTTAGGGAGACCTCATCTCTACAATAAATCAAAAGATTAGCTGGGCGTGGTGGCACGCACCTGTAGTTCCAGCTAATAGGAAGGCTGAGGAGGAGGAAGAATTGTCTGAGCTCAGTAGGTAGAGGCTGCAGTAGCTGTGAGCATGCCACTGCACTCCAGCCTGGGTGACAGAGTAAGACTCTAACTCAAAACAAAACAAAAAATCAAAACCCAAACTACGCCCCCCCCCCGCCCGACTCCTTTCCTATCTTCTCCATTCCAGCTGCTAAGAGAGATGATTAAGAGATATACTTAATTCATTTGTTTTCCTCACCCATTACATCCAAGTAATCTTATTATTTTACCTCTAAGATACATCTCAAATCTGGCTATTTCTTCATCAACATTCTATTCTCGTCTCTCATCCCAGTCTCCTTGTTAGTTTCCCTCCTACCACCCTTAAGTTACAATCCAATCTCTACCTCACAGCCAGAAGGAACTTTTCAAATATGAATTTGTCCATGACATTGCCCTGCTTAAAATGAACACCTTCCTATAAAATTTGGAGTCAAAGCCAAAACTGCCTGCCATGGCCTGCACGGTCCTATACCATGGGTTCTGGTTGGCCTCTCTGACTTCTTCTTCCCCTACCCAGGCTCACTAAGCTCTAGGCACTCTGGCTTCTTCCCTGCTCCTCAATCAGGCTTCTTTCCTGCTCCTCAATTATTCCTCTATGGATATGTCAAGGAAAGGGTGAAACTGGAGAGACACAGGATGCAGGGCAGGTAGAGCATGGTGGTTGCTGGTAGGTGTGTACAACAAAGGCCTGAGGGGCCCTTTGCTAGAATAGGGGCACTCAGCCCTGCTCCACTCACCATAGCAAAGAGGTTGTCATAGCCTTTGACCTTGGTAGGCACCTTTGAGAACTTCTGGTCAAAAGCATCTGAGATGTTGTGGGCTGGGTCTGTGGAGATGATCAGAACACTCTCACGCCCTTTGGAGAGCTGAACTGCCAGGCTGCAGCTGGGCAAAGGAAAGGGTGAAAGGTGGGGAGTGCGGGCTTGGTCTCCATTCCCTTGGTCCCCAAGGAGAGAGGTAGGGTCCCAGGAAGAGGTCACTGGGATCAGCAGGGACCTTGAGAGCATGGGCCACTGTGGGATCAAGCCTCAATCCCTGCAGGGGAATCCTCTCAGACTCACCTAATGACCCCTCCACGTTGACTACAGTGCCAAGGCTCAGCTGAGTGGACAGAGAGGGAGTAGAGTGTCTGGCCTGGTGCCTGCTTCTTCTTTGCTAGGCACAGACTGGCACTGTCCAGCTGTCCAGCCAGCATAGCCTGACTCTGTGCCCTCTCCCTCAACTCTAAGATAAGGGAGTCCCTTGCATTCCCTGCTAAGCTCAGATGGTTCAGTCCAGTCCACTAGTCCAGGATAACTGGTCCCACGGACACCTCCTCCTTTTGGCTGACTGGGACAGTCTAATCAAATGCCCTCTCCCACGCCTTCCACCCCCACTTTCACCTTGTCCATAAAATGACAAGGTTCATTAAACTATGATTGCTTGTTTCAGTGCCCCTCACCCTACTCTGAATTCACTCTGGTACGGTTCAGCTAGTGGGACATCTAAGTGCTCTCCTGCTCACCCATGCGCTGGGTTCACAGTGGTTGGTCACTTGAGCCCCTTCAAGGATGGTCCAACTCAGAGGGTGCCAGGCCTAAGTTGAGGAGGTATCTCCCATTTCCTCCAGGTAACTTACGAAGAATACAACCCGAAAGACCTTGGCCCAGCCTCCTTGCCCTGCTCGAGATGGGAAAATCGGTCCTTGGCCTCTCTTCGCCCAGTGGTACATCCCACCCGCTTTCCCGGCCCCCGCCGCAGTCTCCTTACCTGCAGGTAGTCTTGCCCACACCCCCCTTTCCCCCGACGAAGATCCACTTAAGGCTGCGCTGCTCGATGATGTTGCTAAGCGTAGGCTCCAACGGCTCCACATCAGGTGCATCCTCGAACTCCTCTGCCTCAACCCCCCACCCGGCCACCCCTGCCGCCATCTTGGAACCGGCTCACCTGATCAAACGGAGTGCACCATGAAAAGCGCCTACAGGGGACTGCTCTGTCATATCCCCACCGAGGTTGGGAGCGTGAATTGCCTCATGAACTGCCTTCCAGAAACAAACAGAAACTATATTTTCGCTGATCTCTGTTTCTGGGGTTCACTCTGTCAATCTCGTCTCTATATTTTCCCAAGGACTCCCCCTACCTAGCGAACATATTGGTACGGTCCAGATTACTCCCCTGCACTGATTGGGCCCTAAGTCTTGCAGCGCTCCTTTCATTGGTTACATCTTTTCTTACTTCCACCAGCCACTCACCCGTCCCGGTAGCCGCCAACCTCGCCTTAGCAACCAGCCAAACACCCGGTCCATGCCCTTTTGGTGAAGTTAAATCCTAGGTCCGCCCTGGCCTGACTCCATAGGCTCAATTTCATGTCGATCATTTTTCTTCTATTATCCACATTGGGTCCAAACATCGCCTCAGGTCCGCCCTCTCTGTTACTCAATTGGCTGTGAGCCACCTGGCTTCTGCAGCAAGCCAATCATAGACGAATTGATTAGTGAACTGGAAACAGGTCCTCGGACTGACTGTGGGTCAGAGGGAAAACGAATCCAGTTGTGGGCAGGGTCCGCAGACTCTTGTCCAGTACACTCTGCGGCTCCATGCTGGGCAGGGACCATACCTGCAACTGCGCTCCTTGTCGCAGAAGCGATCCTAATTCTTAAAGGATTTGGCTCCCTGTTCGAGGGGAGACTCGGACCCTAAGTCCAGTACTGCATATTTCGTATGTGAGCCCCTACCCAGGGGCAGGAATACAAGCTAGGTCCCAGGCCCTTAGCGGGAAGCCACCGTCCAAAATACTCTTAACCTTAGAGGGGTACTCGAGCTTCGAAATGCCCCCGACTTCATATGAATACTCCAGCCCATAAAATAACCTTATTTTCAGAGGGAACCCCAGCTTCACGGAGCCAGCCATGTCTCCATTCCCAGATGACAGCTTTGTCGCAGAGACAGGTACCCAACCCAGAAATACTCCTATTTCTAGTCGGGGGACCCAGACTAGGTATGCTTTCTCGACCTAGTTAGGGACCTATGTTCTGAGGTGTCAGCTGGGCACAGGCCCAAATAGGGTCCTTCCCCTCACAAAGATTATTGGTACCAGACGAAGATTCTTGCCATGGAAGGCTAATGTGTTCCCAACTCCAGACAGCCCCACTCCGAAGAGCCAGCTACAGTCTCAGACCCGGATGACGGTCGCATTCTTATGGAGTCTCTGCCTGCAATGCTAATCCGAGTCTCTCCAGATTATTAAAAAACTGCGAGGCGAGGTTTATCCCCGTTGCCCCGCCCCGTCGCGTCATAACCCCTATTCGCCCGCCCCCGGCCCCGCCCCCACTGCGGACGATAGACGTCCGGACCTCTCTTCCCGGCATGCATTGCTCAGGATCAAGCAATTCGGGCGCCAAGCGCGGGGCCGGAGCGGCCTTCCCGGAGTCCTTTGCGCGGCACCTGGCGACAAAATGGCTGCCCGAGGGAGACGGGCGGAGCCTCCGGGTCGGGAGGCGCCAGGCCCCGCG